GAAGGACTAAAAAAAATATGAAGAATAGAGTAAAAAAGTATATAAAAAAATTAAAGAATGAAAATTATATAAAATATTAAAGTTAAGGACTAAAAATGAAATTTGCCCTTTTAAAATTTGAATTTGAATGGTAGCAGGCAACTGTACCAAAAAATGAAAGTTCGACAAGTCAGACAGCTGGACGCGAGAACAGAAGAGGATTTGCGCAATCGAACTTGCAGAGCTGTCAAAACGACGTCGTTTTGGCTAAGAAAAATTTTTTTTTTTTTAATTCTTGCATATTATACCGGTTTAAATTTTAATGTACCGATCGATACCCAAAATTTTGGTTAATACATCAAAATTTGATCAGTACAACTAAAATTTAACCAAAATAAAATTTTAACTTATTTCATTTCGATCAATTGGTACGTATTGACCGTACCAATCGGTACGATACGTTACCAACTACATTGCTTCCATGGGCTAATTTCAGTTTTCTATTTTTACGAACTAAAATAATTTGTTTTTTTTTTTTTTATGAACTAAAATAATTAGTTCAAAAGAACATCTTCCGGGGGCCCAATACCATAAATTTTATTTTTCTTGAACAAAAACAGTACAAAATTTTCTTAACGATTCAGACTTCCTTTCATTTCATCACCATTTTGTTGTTCGACTTTCATGTTTTCTGGTTTTGAAATTCGTTTTTTTTTTTTTTATTTCAAGTTTTTTTTTATAGTAAATCATCTCTTTTTATGCTAAGGTAAAATATATGTACCCTTTTTGAATTAGTAAACTAAAATGTTCTTGCCATTCCCAAAATATATTTACTACCAAATAAGAATGAAACAAGTACATAATTCCATGGATGTTATTCCATGTATATATACATTGTTTTTAACGTGGGAAAATTTTAAGGGTATTTTTTGTCAATGAAATAAGAAATTATAATTTCCCTCATGTGAAAGTAAATTTGAATTAATGTAATGCTAATAGAATGGGTTAAAGATGCAACAAGTTGTTTTTTGTTAGGTTAAATATCCTTTTTAGTCTCTCTACTATTGAAAAAAGTTCACTTTTGATCCTTATACTAAAAAAATTTCTTTTTTAGTCTCTAAAATTTAAAATCTGATCATTTTTTGGTCCTTCATTAAATTTTTGCTAATCTATCATGTTAATTAATAGAATCACTTGATTATTTTTTATATAAATGATATTATAAATAATGTAAAAATTACGTAGATAAAATTATAAATACACGTAAGCATTTCATATGAATATTTTAGGCCATAAGTACAAATTAAAAATTTTACTTCTTAATTCATGAATTAAATGAATTTAAACGAAATTAACTTTAATTTCTTCATCTTCTTCTTTCTCCTCGTCTATATCCTCCTTCTCATCATCATCCTCATCCTCGACATCCTCTTCACCATCCTCTTCATCATTAGTTGCTAGGTTCCTCTGCATCATCATTAGCTAGGTTACTCGTGAAACCCCAATTTGGGTTCCACGAACCTAAGTTCTGGGTTCCGTGCTGAGTTCTTTAAAGAACCCATAAATTGGGTTCCTTGAACCTAGAAATTGGGTCTCACGAACCTAGGTTCTAGGTTCCTCACGAAATCTAATTGTTGGGTTTCTCGAAGAACCCATAAACTGGGTTCCACGAGAAACCCAGCAATTGGGTTCTTCGAGGAACCCAGGTTCTGGGTTCCTCATGGAACCCACGTTTTGGGTTCATGGAACCCAAATCTAGGTTCCTCAAATCTAGTTTTTGAGTTTTGGGTTTATTACAAAACCTAGATCATGTTTGATATTTGGGTTTGAAACTACATGTGATAAGTTCATGTTGATGTGTTCATGTTACTATGAATTTCATAACTTAGTT